ATTCAAAAAAAATCGCCTCGCCGCCGCCTTTTCGAAATTTCTATGAAACGAGAAACAGAGAACTTTTCTCCTGGCCTTAGTATGATGGAAAAAGTGTACAGTCATTACATAGGGGGAGGGGGTCAAGTAGGAGGGGATCAAGACGTGATTGCGTATATCAAAGCAGAATTTAGTGTGTTGATTGTATGTGTCTTCATAGGTAACCGGGGAACAAGAAAAATGCTGTTTCCTTCGTATTCACTTATTTTGTTTGTAAAATATACATTTTATTTTACAAAAATTACAAATTTCATAACTATAGTCAGATGTTTTTCAAAATACAATGTAACTATATTAATGTATGATTTCTATTGCGTCAATGACGTCATTTAATTAGCACACAGTCTCCCAATAGACATAAACATGGAGGGACTGTAATTAGCATAAGCGTCACGGGAAATCTGCCTGCGTCAGTGGCGCGCTATATCGGCTTAGAGTGCGCACTGATCAGTAAGACACATGTGTTAGAACGGTCAAAAATGTATGTAGTGCTTCTTCCACTTAGGCTATTCCAAATAACGGATGCAATATCTCAGTTTAATTGGCGTAAACTAACCGGAAGTACTGTATGGAAATGTAAGAACTCATTTCTCAACAGTGTGTCTCATGATGAATCACAAAGATTTTCTGGCTCCCTAAGTGAAGCAATATTATTCACATGATCACCAAATTCCATTTCTGATTAATGATGACATCAGGGCTCCTCGTGCTACTGACCCTATGCCGTGAGCACTTAATGTACAGGAAAAAGAAACAAAACAATAACTTTTCTTTCTTTTTCAGTGTAATAGATGAGACTTTAGCATTTAAAGGGCAGTGGTCGCCACACCACACATGCGCGAGTTATGGGTCTTTTATAAACAAAGATGGCGACTTTAACTGTTGCGCAGACCAACGAGTGCAAACTGAGAGGTTACCACGCTTCAGCTACAGTATGTAATCTTTGGTGATTGGAAGGTATCCGAAGAGTCACCGGCGGTCAAATCTCGGTACTCGTGAAGAAGAGCGCATTGAATCGCGGGAAATTAAAACGATTTGACCCTATTGTGCCAACCATGAAGGTGCAATGTGTACTATTTGTGGGAATGTTCATAGATAAGTTTGTAACACAAGATCTACCTCGCCCAAAGCAGTGTCGAATCGGTGTGACCAAACTGAGGATATAGTAAATTATTTGGCGATTTACAAGTATTTGTCACGCGAAAGAATTAGGTTAAAGGGCGGTACTCGTCGCGCCACACATGCGCGAGATATGTGGGTCTCATATAAACAAAGATTGCGACTTTGACCGCAGATCAACGACTACAAATTGAGACGTTTCCTAGCTTTAATTAGGTAATTTTATGTGATTGGAAGGTATCGAAGGAGTCACCGGAGGTATTCAGTGCAAGTCGCGCCCAGGTCAAATCACATATTTGTGATTTCCATTTTAAGAGCGCATTGGATTGTGGGAAAATTAATGTTTATCAACACAAATGTCAAACAACATGCGCAGCGCGACGACCACCGCGCCTCAATCGACTAATGTGGGACTAGTTGTGGGAAATGTGGGAGTAATTTGTTGTACTAAAACATGTGCGAGGTTGCATTGTCCTCATTGTTGCATGAGGTTCCCATCATCTTTTCTGTAGATGGTGACGTCATCACAACTTTCACTGTAATTGTCAATTTTACCAATCCGCGAGGCCGAGCACTTCGGCACACGTGATCGTGTCAGAAAAGCCTGTATATGACCACATACAAATTTGAATATTTTGATTGGGCGCCTGATCAATCAAGCGTACCCGTGACAACCACTCGTATCATTTTAAAGGGCGGCAGTCGTCCTGTTCGATATGGGACTCATAGCGACGTATACAACGTGTGTAAAATACATTGTTTATTTACATGAAATTCGAACGCGCGCTGCGCGACGACCACCGCGCTTTAAACCAGTAAATTGTATCGTCTTATATCATGTCATAGCTTAACTGCTAAATCACGTGACTTCGAGTTGGACCATTCATGAAAACGCATCACAAAACGTGACCGTGTCTTTCATCTACCATGGAAATGCACCAGAACACGCGTCCTTAGGTTTGATTTCATCTACAGTCAATACAAGAACGCGATGAGTTTTAGACACGAGCGCCGCCAACGGCAACAAACCTTTTTTTTCAAATCGCGCACACGTTTTTTTTTTTTTTTTCATTGATTGATATTGCTACTGTATTTTGTTAGGCCAAAACTAGCCAACAGAAATTGTTTATTTTCATTTCACAATTTTGAAGTTACCCCATACCAAAGTGTTCAACGAATGAGGGACTGGGACTTGTACTCGTGAACCCCTCAAAATGATGTGTCTGACAGCACCCTCGCCGACTGATAAAGCCCGTGCCAAGATAGTGATTTTTTTTGTTGAGTATCAAACTCACATGTGATGACGCCCTCACAGATTGCTCGTTGATTAACAAACTCGACGACATTCCTTTAATTTTCAACTTTTAATTCAAATTAAAGGGCGGCAGGCGTCGTGCCGCGTCCTGTTCGATATGGGACTCATAGCAACGTATACAACGCGTGTAAAATACATTGTTTATTTACATGAAATTCGAACATGCGCTGCGCGACGACCACCGCGCTTTAACTTGAATGAGGAAGGTACAATGGCGCCAAAAACGTCAACAAAACTACATATGATTACCATTTTACAGGACTCCGCCCCATATAATTTTTGTAGAGCCGGTATACAGTATAACGACCTCCAAACTTACTGATCACGTGATCTCGATGATGAAAGTGTATTTTGAATAATAATATGGTACGGCAGTCGAAGAAGGTCGTCCGCCAATGAATGGAGAACAATGGAGCATTGTCTTGCGTCGTCATGTTAGAAGTAAACTACTCAGTATACTTGTAGATTTCATATATTTTGTTATAAGTGGTAGCAAACTACAACTCTCTAATCTTCAGAAGGTGATAAATTCATAAATGTACTGTCTGGTGTTTAACTTGAACCATTTGTTGCACTAAATACACATTTTTACGAAATTTCTTTTCAAAGAAAGTGATGAAGACCTGAGTGTACACTAGTATATCGTAAAATTATTCATATATGATCCAAAATTTACGAAGAAATTTAAAAAAAAAATACAAAAAAGTGGTAAAATGTTGTGGAGGGAAAACATGGCGTTCTGCATTTTACAACAAGAGATTAGTAAGCAACTGGAAATGTACAGAAATAATTTGGCGGGAAATGTAGGGCAGTTCAGAAACTTGAAGTCACAGTGCGGTTTATAATGAATACCATATACAACCTTGATGAAAAATAAATTCTTCTTTTTGTGTGCGCTCACAGATCACGTGACTAAAAACTTGAATACATAATCACACCTGTGCAAATGGGTTGATTTTTATGAGTCAGACATTCGGGTTCGACAGCTGTTTTGTCGTTCTACTTATTAAAAGCGCCAAAATAGTTACACCACCGCTTTACATCACAGTTCCAAACAGACTGTACATTTCTATAAATGACCGGGTGAAATTATAAAGGATTTTGAAACCATATTTTCTTTGATTGCAGACGATAAATTTTATTTCACGACCAGCGGCAACTAACTGTTCTTAAAATGACGGGCGTACTACAAACAATAATTAAATTGTCTTTGTTGACTGTCACCATAAAATTTTACGTTCTGTCATTAAATGACGACAGTACGACAGTATTGATGACTTCTTTTGCAATTTTGTCGAAAGACGAGCAACTATTGTTTGAATAGCAGCCATTTTGTTTTACAATTTTAACAATGCACAAGGCTGTCATATATTTTCTTTTCACGCCCTTCCGACTTGCGCGCAATTAGCATTAGGAATATAGAGTACATACAATACTTCTATTGTACCGTGTCCTTCTCAAGTTCTATTTCAAGTTTAATTGTATGTTGTTATTCGACCAAAATATCACTTGAAATTTAAGCACAGATGTTCACTTCTGAGGGAAAACACTGATTACTCAATTGCATGTTGTTCGATTCAGCCTCGGACGATGTCGTTGAGATGATAAAAACTTGTAAAACAATACCAAACGAATCGAGAATAGGTGATTTTCCGTACAATTGCGAGATCCCGCGAGATGCATGAAAGACGCGCGTCGAACGTCTGCCGCAACAATCGAACGATTTGATTTTGAACTCGAATTTCCTTATTTCGTAGCTCACACCGACCGGCCGATCTTCGACAGAGGAATATTGCTTCCGAATACCCTTACTTAATCGAAATTGCCTATCATCAAATGTGGACAGCACATTATTAAGCATGGAAATGCCCCCAAAATACTTTCGCGTTTGTCGAATCCCACGCGATGTTTGACGCGACTACGACGCTATGACCTTTGTTTGTCCTGTTTTTACGTTCGATTCCACGCATAACGCGTGATTCTCGCAATGAACGGAAAATGGGCTATTAGGACTTGACTCTGACAGTAAAATTGCATCATCACAAGATTTTGTTTTGCGCTATAATTTCTAAGTTGAATTTTATAACAAAATGGCGGCCACCAAGAAGGTTCACGGGCTATCATGTCAAGTTGTGTGGACCTAAGCCAATCAAATTAATGGATACATTTATATACCTGGGATTCAACGACGGTTTGGACACTCAACGTTTTGTCCAAGGTGCGAGTCATTGCTGTGCTCACGCGAGAGCCTGCCGTAATATAAGACACTCAACCAAATTTGGAACGATAAACGGGACAGTTGGCGATGTTGTCATGTTTATCAAAATTATATGGGCAATTCTGGCCAAAAATACCAAAACAATTCAACTTTTTAAAGAACTATTCCCATACTTACGAACATTCGTAGTAGCACAATTTAGTGTATCCCTCCGCGATGTGAATCCATTCATCTCCAAACTCACGCTGGAAGTCATATTTTCAGAAAATGTAAATAAACAAATAAATAAATACGACAACAAAATTACTGTGTAACATTTTTCCGTTTAATCTTTCACAAAAATAGAAAATCTGAAAATCTTCTTCAATTGTAAATCGTTCACAAATCTACAAATAAAATAAATATTTATTAATAATAATAATATTAATAATAATAGTAGTAGTAGTACAATAGCTCCCGGAACTATAAATTTACATACACATCATTCGCAGTTCCGGGGACTTGGTCAAGATAAAGTTGGCTATTTTTAAGTTGGTTTTGTTTTGAATCTAAGTATGCATAATATTATAGCTACACGTCATGGCTATGCATTTTACTGAAGTAAGGTGAGCTAGTCCAGAAAAAACTCACAAGTCATTGAAACTTTTATCAAAAATATACAAGAAAAAAATCTGAAAAAATTGCAGAGAAATACTGTTCAGCTATTTACAATTATGTATAAATATGTACAATAGTTTATGACAGAGCAAAGTCAGAGTAATTTGAAAAACTAAGACTGTCATTGTCTTCTCGCGAGAAATTGAATTTATTTGAGTCTCTCGTGAAGCAAACTTCACACAGGCATTGTTCATGTTTGCAAAACGAGCTGAAACAAGCATCGCCGGTCGTTTTCCGCCTTTTTGAGATCCTTTTTATGTGATCAATGTCATTCGCGGCGAATTCACTAATATCCGATAAGAAAGAGTCGTTTTCAAAGTAACCGGACTCCTCAAGTTTTCTTTTCTTGCTTGGCGCGAAATAGTCTGCCTCGTTCTCACTTCCCACATTGAACATGCTTCCTGATTCGCCATCGTCTACATCCGGAACGCTGACGTCAATTCCGCTCTCAAACTCGAAATCGTTCGTATCCTCGCTGTTGTAACCGCTTTCCCGGCTGATTTCCCGTCGGAACTCTGGGTACATATTCCCACCGAGTGGTTTTATAGGGAGTTCGGCAATGTTAACTTCCGGACCGTTGTCGGTTGTCATACAGTGCAGTGCTTCGCGGGGTTGAAGGAACCACTGAAAGTAATCCTCTACGTCGCTGATATCAAATTCTGGGTCACCGAGAATGTCTGCGCTCGCTCTCTCAATATCCACTGAATCGTACTCTATTTCCGCTTCCGCCAGTACTTTCTGTAATAAGGCAAAATAAAAAAAAAACACATTAATTTTCTTTTACACTTTTTGTTTGAATGTATAGCTTCAACTTTCTCCGATAATATTGAAAAGGAACGTTACCGTCATTGTTTGTTCGTGTATTAGCCCGACTATTAAAATATGAATATCACAACTACTACAGCTAGCGAACTATCTTAACATAATACTAGTACGTACCTTCAAATTTAGGCTTTCAATCCTTTCCTGGCAGAATGGTGCATCAAACCATCCATTCTGGAATGTAATATCAAGCAAACTCATGTTCCCTGGCGAGGCTTTGGTGACCAATGGCGGATAACGATGGTCCCATGCCCCTGTGTTTGGGTTAAAGCGATAGTATGGTAGCAGTTTCCAACCGTTGGTGGCTATTTGATCAATGGCTTCCAGAACGTAATCGACGGCGTCATCATGCATGAAGTACGGGAGATTGATCCTGGCAAATCCTGGCCTGAGCGCCTCCAATGGCTGTTTGTTTTCCTTCTTCATTCTGTCCTCGTCGAGAATCCGAATGAATTTATCAGCAATCTTCTCAGAGATTCCCAACAAATCCTAAAGACAAAAAGAAAAACAAATTCTATAAGCACAAGAAAAACAGAATGGAATCATTGTTGGTGTGTCCGAAACGTCCAGCGCGTACTTTATTGAAGCGTTTTCGTCTGAGCCGGAAGTCATGTGACATATTTGGGCGGCATGGAACATCAAGTATTAAGCTCGAATGCAATAAATAGTATACGCTTAAATACTCGACTGTATTGCGCGTCTGCCTTGACCCGTACCTTTGTGGTATTCAAAACTAGAACCCCCCCCCCCCCACCATCATATTACAGACTTATACTTACATGAGCATAAGGTCCTGCGCATGCGCATCCTCCTCGTGCCTGAATACCATATAAGTCATTCAACAGAGTACAGACGAAATTGTGGTGCAGAAGTTTCCCGCTCTTTTCATGTCTCACAAGGAAGGAGAATATAGGTAGTCTGCGTGGTTTTCGGCATCCCAGGATGATGAGATTTCTGTTATGCTGCCACCTGTCGAAGGCTCTTCTACACAGCTCTTCCTCGCGTGCTTCAATAACGTCAGTACCGACAGCCTAAAAAGAGCAGACGAACAGAAAATGTGAATGAAATGTAGCATAATGTTGTACACATGTTGCATGGTTATATGAAAATTGCCACTTTCTGACCTTAAAAGAAACGCTAAAATCACATGAACTATTTATCATATTTGGAAGGATACTATTTACTAATTTTGTAAATTGATCCACACAGAATAAAGATAATGCTACTTACATCTTTCAACTGAAAGGCCATACCAGCGCGGATTGATTCAGTGATAGCCGGTGTACCGCCTTCCTCTCTAGCTTCAATGTCTTTCAAGTAGTAGTGCTTCTCTCGCGAGACGTACGAGACCGTGCCGCCGCCCGCTGATGCTGGGACCCTGTTCTTGAAGAGACATCTCTTAGCAATAAGAAGACCAGGAGTTCCTACACCGCCAACAAATTTGTGAGGAGAAATAAAAACCGCGTCTTTAGAACAATCGCTCCCATCCCTGAAAAGACAAGACATGAAAAAATGGCATAAATATATGTATTCTAGCTTCGTTGTGTAGCGGGCTACAATATATTACTACTAAGTAGTATACACGGCATCTCCCCTTGAAAATATACGACTGCGCCATCTTGTGACATGCATCAGTGCGTTGATAGAAATTATACTTACATGCTTGGCGGGTTCATCTCGACGTTGAGGTAGGGACCGGCTGTGGCGTAGTCCCAGAATGCCAGCGCCCCGTATCTGTGGAGTAGAGCAGACACTTTGTTGGTGTCTGTTAGGATTCCAGTCACGTTGGAGGCAGCTGAGAACACACCCATCATAACTTCTGCACCATTCTTCTTCTCCGCTTTCAACTGTTCTTCCAAGTAACCAGTGTCAACAGTTCCATTCTCTGTTTCTTTAACGCGGATCACTTTAGCGCCGCTCTCCTTCCAAGGTAAGATGTTGGAGTGGTGTTCGAAGGGACCAACAAACACGACCTGAGCAGACGAAATGATATTCACGATGAAATCACGGAGAACGACGTAGCTTTCCCCCTCTCAAATTTTTTAAGCATTTTCTATAATGATTTTTAATTATCGACCAATTAGACATATTTTTTTTTTTAATTATCTTCATCAATATTTATTCTCAAATATATTCAAGCTCGTCAACCGGTTGTTGTCAGAGAACCTCGCGCTTACTTTCTGCATGGTTACTGACACCATGGCCTCCGAAAAGCGACACACAGATCAGTTACATTAAGTGCACTGTGAATACTTCGACATCTTACCGTTGTTTTCGCCTTTTCTTCCGTTAATTGCATAACCTGGTACAATTTATGAATGGCCCCGGTGGCCCCGCTTCCACAGAATATGACGGCATCGTCGTCACCAACATTCACGCTTTTCTTTATCAGATCTCTGAAAATACAAACATATACTTCTTTAGAATTTTTCTTAAATTAAATAAAAAATATATATATTTTAGCATTATTCTGTCATTCTTTAAAAATCTTAGCAAAAAAAAAGAATGTTGCTTGCGTTACTCACTTTGCGTCTGTTCTGAATTTTGTCGTCTGCTTGGATACAATGGTGGTTGTCGTGTGCGTATTTCCGTAGTGTGGCAGAACATTCTTTTGAATGTAGTCTTCAATAAACTTCAACGGTCTATAATTGAAACAATATATATATATATATATATATAATTTACACGTAAACACATCAGATATTGTTGTTTTGCTTTAGTAAACAAATTCAGAACAAACAAAATAGTCCGCGGCGTACACAGATGCCACAGTTGCCATATCACTGCTTTCAATGGCCCTGGTGACCTCGGAACAATATATATGTGAGGTCGCGTTGCGTGACATGACTGACACACATTCAAACATCTCCTCAATAAACTTGGCAAATTATGTAACTTATTAACTAGTTTGGCGTCAGACCAGACACTATTTTCCCGGGTCGAAACCGCCGTATGTTAATCAAGGGGAATGAAGGAGGAAGGGTCTACGAACTATTGCATAATTAAATATAATAGACAATCTTACCTTCCAGAAGCTGTATAATCACAATAGACCACTGCAAAGAATTAAAAAAAAAACATAATGAGAACGAAGAAGCGATAAAAGAACTGTAGCAGTGAATACAATTTCATAGATTTTTTTTTACCCGCTCACGTGTTTGTAGAGTAGAGGTAAGTTAACGTTCGATGGCCGTGTTCAATTCGTTTGCAATTCAAGAAATCAGCAAAGGTGAAGAGAAACTCGTGTATGCGTGGGCGCAAATATAAACAGCCGATATGCCCACAAAACCACATGGACTGTGATAGTGCGCTTATACCGACGAACACGTGCTTTGCGCTGTGAGTTATAGAACAGTGCGTTCGCTAGACCGATCAGGCCAATTCAGCGGGGATCGAATGTACAGCGTCATTCTTGTTGCAGACACCGAGTCAGGCAGAATGGTCTAATAGCCCCGCCCGGGGTCACCGCGGGTAACACGTGAACCCGGCATGCGATCGGGGGGGGGGGTATTTCAACCAGGAGCGTTTGAATATTTTTAAAAATCTCAAAACTGAAAAGTTCTCCGGTAATAGAGAAATAGTTTTTGTTGTGTGATTTGTTAGCACCTACCTTGTCGTTCTCCGAATGGCCCGTTGAATCTGGCTTCCCCGCCGACTACGTTCTGTTCGATGTACTGTAGGAACCGTAGTCTCTCCTCAGACACCACGTTATAATAGTCGATGGCATCGTATACACCGGCGTCTGCGTGGTCAATCTCCATGGTAATAAAATGTTTAAAATTCACTGCTGGATCGGGCTTTTCCAGATGAATCTCCTTGGCGTAAAAAAAAATCTTATAGGCTGACGGACATTCGCGTATTCTCAGCTCGGGACTCTTGGCTGCTCAAGAGATGAATGAATTCTCACGAATACCCCGTTCTCTTTTAATAGGTTATCGCACAAAGGGCACAACCATTATGGAAGACTCACGGGGGTGTCGGGTTCTCTTTCCACTTCAATGGTTACTAACCAGTCAAACGTGGTATATTTATTCAAACACTACCGGATTAAATTTTAACGCATTCGAATCCTAAAAATCATAATAATTTGAACCTGAGTCATCAAAATATCAGTATTATGCCATAAATTCGGGCTAGATTCCGTAACCCTTGTTGTATAGTATTCATACGTAAGAAGGCGGCTGTAAGTCAAAACGACTTGCTACGTCACGACCCACTGAAAGGTGATTGGTGCGTCTATCAGTACATACCGGTAAACAAGGGACACTTTTTGTATTGTTCATCGTTAAACAAGACCCATAGAAATGTTTCAAAGTGCACCCTCTAAAGCTTTTCACACAAAGATATTTGTTCTGCTCGGCTGGGTCCTTTCTATTTCACCCTTTTCAATTCATCTTTAACTGGTCCTTTCAGCTTTTGAAAAAAAGGAATCGCGTGCATTGAAGCTAGCAGATAGTTCCAGCTGAAAGCGGCAATGTCGTCACATTTACCTTCCAACGTATAACCCCCAAGATGCGGAGTACACGTCACACTAACACATGTTTTTATGTTCAAGGCATTGCAGACTATCGAAAACTTTAATGTAACAAATCTTTTTTTTACGTTCAACACTCTATTTTATAATTCTTTATATCATCTTGAAAAAAAGACCCCCTAGGTAAACAGATTTTTCAAAAACCTGAGGCAGGTATGTTTTGTTTGGGAACGTCGTGATTTTAGGATATCATCCCACGAGAATATCGAATGTACGTGAAAACACCAAAGTTTTTCACAGAATACTAGACCTGGACACAACTTTCATCACATTTTTCGCCAACAAATTTGATTTAAATTTTAGTAATTTGTACTAACAATAAATTAACAATGAAGTACATAATAATTTAGCCCCAAATGATAGACGGGAATGGTTATGTCAATTAATATTCTGGCAACCGGATGACAATTTTTCAACAACCTGTTAACGAAGACACTCGCGTGTCCAAAACTGCAAGAGAACGGGTTTTTGAAATGAGCATGAGTTCAGATATTTCAGGATTGTCTTGCCACACCGACAACACGATTCTCCGGCGAAATCTTGCGTATTTTGTCAGGGTTCTGTAAATTTTGCGCTGATGTTAACTACAAAACCCACACGACGCGCTGTAAGCGGTATTCCGTATACGTAAGCTTGTGAAATATCGTGCTGTGTAACGTGTCTTCAAATATACAAGATCTACATTGGTTTGCATACCATATCGTCTAGGTTTTAAAATGAGGGCAATTATTGAAATATTTATGTAGTTTTGTTTTCAGTTTGAACCGGAATCTGTAAATTGTACTAATTCTGGTAGTTTTTTTGTCAAATATATACTTATTGGGAAATTCGACATCAAGCTTCATATTTGATTGTTGATTAAATCGAACTTAAAAAATGAGCGAAGTGTTTAATGTAGTACGTCTTCTTTTCGGCGGCCGTCATCATCGCCGATTTACACTCATAATTATGTTTTTTTTTTTTACTTTTACTTGACAAAACTTCCAGACAATATACAATGACTATTGTTATTTCCTTTCCTTCCGATTGTCAGTCACGTTATTACGTAACACATCTCGTTCTCATGGCCGTGTTATTTTGATTCCATCCCGACATGTCCGAGCCTGTCGGCGAGTTGCCATTCATGGAGACTCAGCTCGAGTGCTGAGGTACCGACTTGAAGACAGTTGGCGTTTCACTTCACGCCCTGCGTGTTTTTTCGGCACACATACTATGATAGTTGTTTTTGATGCTGCCGATTTGCAAGCGATTCGCTGTCAGTTCCGATCGTTAAAGCTATGGATCATAGATGAAGCGTATCTCCCAGTGTTTTTGAAGTCCCATCTTCGTCGGCTCCCCCTATCTTTCTGTACTCGAGTCTAACACAGCTTGACCATGAAGGACGATAAACAAACGATTTGTTTTGTGGTGTGCGTACAAACGCATGTTATCATCACGAGCTTGACTCGTGTAAATTTGCAATATTATACCTGATTGGACACCCGTTACTAAAATCTAACAGTCGGACCAATGATAGACCAGCTTGTTTGTTGATTTCAGCCTTTTTATATATGCTTCGATTTGACTTTGATTGTATGAAATAAAGTCACCACAAAATATCGCGGACTCAATCTGACAGGTGTTTTTAACGGCTGTTTCGTAGCGTAAGTTGCCTTACGTTACGTGTAGGCAGCCGCCATCTTCTGGTCTATAGTTGAGTTGCTGTACATGTAGTATTGTAAGAATATTCCACTATCTGCATATTTATTTCCCCAACATTTTGATCAAGACTTATAACTAATATGTATTTACGTCCTTTTGGTCAAAAATTGTGACAAAAATTATAGAAAAATACGGAAATAGACAAAATGTTACACCGACATTCATTACATATTTCAGTCTTGTATGGTATTAATGGCATGCTACGCTCATATCTGATTTTCCGGTATGCGTAGTGCTTTCATTTATGTTGCTCTATTGCAAATGTTTTTATTTGCATTTTCGTATTTTTGTACTTGTGGCTGGAGATCACCGACTGTAAAAGGATTTTATTGACGTTGGTCGCCAGAACAAATCGATGCCGCGATCACCCTAAATTTCCCGGTCTACCACCGTCACCAGAAGTGGCTGAAATGTATTTATAGGATATGTATAGAAAGAAATACTCGTTGATTAACGACTCCTCGTGGGTATTCCAGAATTCCTGCTATACAGGCGTTAGTTATTGGAAGGAATTCCGAATTGTAATCGCCGCGTAGCAACGCAACGAACAACTGCAAGTTCGAGAATGAATGATAACACCCCCGTACGAGGATTCCAACAGTCGCCTTCGCCGTGGTTGCTTCATTTAGTGGCTTGCGCGATTAACGAAAATTATGTGTGGCGCTATCTGGGCAATCACGCATGTGTGTGTGTTTTGATCGGAGTTTGGACGTCACCACGGGGTTTAGCTCCTACCGGGCAGTTCGCATGATCAGATCAACTGAAGTCATTCGTTGATTAAAGTAGAACGAGTTAGTATTGTTTTTCACCCCCGATTATTATCAAATGTAAGTTGCTTTAACAATTCTAAATTTAATAGTGATCTGTATTTTTAATAAAATAAAAAATAAATAAAATAAAAACATATTATTAAATAAAATAAAATAAAAACAGTATATTGTTATTGATTCACTCAAACTGTTCTGAAAATTACATATACACCGTTAACCCCCCCCCCGTTACGTTAATTTAGCTGTACAGATTAAAGTTACGAGAATGGAGTCTTTAAGTTTTATCAGTGTTAATGATAACTTGTGTGGATCCAATGTAAACATTTTCCGTACGTACACAAATCTGAGTGTTTAACAAGTTGAGAAGCTTCCTTAAAACTTTAACTTCTCGGCATACAACAATCACGATGGATTGAAAACAGCAAGGACGATTGCTTTGGATGACCTTCTCGAAATAAGAGAAACCGCCTAAATCAGGATAAGAAAGATACACACGTGACAGGAACACGAGAACATCTTCACGAGACCTTGCACGTGACTCGGAGTCGGAAGCGGAGGATGTTAGTTCCTGTTTTCGCTAAGAGATGTACTGGGTGGGGCTGCTAAGAAGAGGAGGATCCGTCCCCGATGACATTGACGATTTGTTTCTTTAAGAAATATGTGCTACACCTTGTTTTAATGTAATAAAATTGTTGTTAAATGCCCAAAAAAACAAACAACATTTGTGTGAATATTTATTGTTTCAATGTCAGCTACTAATACCATTTTTTTCTGCATTTTTCTTTTATTCTTTAATATTTCTGGAAATGAACCCTAATTTTGAAGCTAACAGGCAAAGTTTGTGTCAATTTTCAGTTTTTAATCAAAAAATGTGGCTATTTATGTCTCAATCTTTTGAAGGAATGCGCAGACTATAAACGGGACTATTTTGTGAATTTGTGACAGAAAGATACATTCACCGTATGAATTCGTTATTGGTACATGTATATTTCATTTCTTTTGATCATACATTCAATGCGCACGTCGCTCTGTAATTGCCGTAAATGTTGGCCCGGAAATGATAATCCAAAAAACAAAACAAAAAACAGATAGCTCGCGAAATAAACAGGAACATAACTTTTATTTAAAACATTCCTACGTCACAATTGTTTGTCCTGATCGCCCTACTGCTATTTTTACCATTCTCACGCTTGGTTACCCCACTTGAAAGAGCAGCGAAAGTAAACGCCGGTATTAGCCAATAAAACGCGAGACACGACAATGCGTGCAACGCATGTATGGTGACCTCACACGCCTGGGGTCAGTGCGTTTGAAAGCGCATAGAGCTCTTTACGTCACTATGGCAGTACTTCGTCACAGAGCACGGTACAAATGTCCATTTTACGAGCTTCATTCAGTACCATACCCTGCGTCCACGTCACACAGATGTAAAACAAGGCGCAAAATAGAACAAGAACGAAACAAACAAAATAACCAACCAATCAACAAACAAAAACAACACATAGTTTCAAATTCACTAACTCATAATGCGTTTCGGGGTTAAGCGCACAGTGATTTAGTTACAAAAAGGATCGCTGTACATGTAGTTTATTATTAGGCAAAAAGGACTCCCTGTCGCTTCACCGAATTTGACTTCGTTGTGTCGTGTTTTGAGCATTAACGCGCCCGCGGTGGCATTTTATTTGAAACGTCGAGTCGTGTTCCTCTGTTCAACCAAAGATATTCTTGCCAGTCACTCATGAACAGCCCATAAACTCACCCTTCTCGCGAGTTCAGTCCCGGGATATCGACATAGAGAGCCATATGTCACATGCTACAAACGCCATATTTAAATAGCTACATGCCATTTTAGCGAATTTGACTCCATGCATGAATTAA